GGACAGTCTCCACCAAAAAATGCAGGCACCTCCGCAAGAAAAGTGATGCAACTCAAAAATGATAAAAATCACTTTTTGTGCTTACTAAATTCCAATTAGATTAATCTCTAACTCTGAAAATGATACTTCAATTTTTTATTATTAAATTAACTCAAATAAAGTTACAGAAAAATTACAATGCCAAGATTTGGGGAATTTGGATGCTATGATACATACAAAACACGATACACACAAAACACTACCGCATATTTTGAAATAATTAGGGTTGATCTGAAAAAGCAATTATTATTTCTTATTGAATAAACATGTTGTTTCGCGGACTTTACTTTTAGAAGTGAACAATTATTTCCATCAAAACACTCCGCTACCAGGCGTAGCAACCATTCCGTGTAAAAGCTCAATGCCATGAAGATTGTCGCCTTCATGGCCAATATAATAAAACGAAAATACGTCCAAACATGCCGGCGGCCTTGAAAAGCTACAGCTTTTAAAAATATAAACGATTTGAACTAACAATAAGTATAGAAAGTATATAAAGATTTTACGAGTATAAAAATTGATTAACAATGTAATAGTGACAATCTAATATAAAATTATTTTGCATTACAATTTGCATTAACTAATATTTATAAGTTCTTTAATTATACTCTACTACACAATTTAACTTTTTGACTTGTGTCACTTTTCTTGTGGACTGCGATATACTTTTGTTAATTATTCATAAAACTCTTCTATATAAATTTCATAGTTCGTTGCAAAAAAAGTTCAAAATTCAGCACAAGCATTTTCACTTCTTTGTTCCCATAATTTTCTGCAACTCATGTAAAATCCAATTGATTATTTAAAGTATTACAAAAACAATTAGCAAATTTACAACTAATCAATATTAACTTATTATTACCTCTCATTATTCTGGCTAACATTATAAGTTATAACAGTGAATCCTGGATTTATTCCTTTCAAACTAATATTATAGGAACCAGGATCACTGACTTCCAATTCGGCTGGTTTGATTCTGAGAAGACTCTTGTGTTCAGCGTAGAAGTTCACCTGTACAGGTTGAACTAACTGTCGTCTGTAATTTCCAGTGGTTTTGAATTATGAAAATAATCATCAAATTCGAAAGAAAATGATGATTAGTAATAGAAACAAATAAAATAAACATTAAAGTCGTAGTAGAATTGATATAGAAAGGAAATATTTTGTTTGTATTTTCATATGTAAAATTGAAAGTTGTATCGTATGACAAATAAGGGTATAATAATTCCAAATCGATAGAAAAACCTGAAGAAAACTTTTTTTGAAATATCTATATTTGAAACACACAAAACTTAACCCGAACGTGGTTTTGATCACAATTTGCTGCTAAATGAAAATTTAGCATATCATCTCTCGTCATATGTCGTTTTACTGAAAATATTTTATTCTAAAATAAACCTTGTAACAATGCTATAGATTGTTTTAAAATTTTTAACCAGCTATCCTTTAACTTTCCTAGATTCTCTTCACGAACTCTAATATTTTTCAAGTAATTTATTCCTTAGTCTAATACTCTTTTGAATTCGCTTATAGCAGTAATTTCTAACTTAAATTCAATCAATTAAAATTCAATCATATTTCAATGAAATAACTAATTACCATATGTACAAGAATTTTTTTTCTATTTTAACTTGTACGTTTTTTGTTTAAATTTGTTTTGATATAATTTAGTATTAACAGTTAAATCTTATTATAATAGTATTTTTAACCCTCGGTATCCGAGTGGAAAGGGTTAATACCTTCTCATGCTAATCGGTGAGCTATGTTATAAAATAATTATAATAAAATAATTATCAAATAAATAAATTATAATAAAAAACTGAAAAATTAAAATAAATTATTTCAATTAAATTAAATGATTTACCTGACTTCTAAGTTAAATGCACCGACATCACCCACCAGAATTGTAATATCATGTGTTGATAATACAAAAGTGTCATCCGAGCTAGCAGCTGCATTTTGCCATAAAAATACTGAAAATGTAAAATATTACCTACAACTTACTTAAAATTTTCATGGGTTACCAATAAAAAATGATTAACTTCATATTTCCACTTGGAATACCTTGCAAATTTTGCAAAAAAAAATTAAATCAACCATCATCTCACCAATGTCAAGAATTTACAAAAACATTTCTTAAAATTTCTTTTCTTTAATAACAATAATAATTTATTGTAGGTAGTACATAAAATATGTAAATATTTTAATTAGTGTACTATTAGTCATTAGGTATTGAAAATAAAATTTGGAATATGTTTAAAATATTTGCCTAATAGCAAAGAATAAATTAAATATTATTTGTAATTAGTTTGAATAAAAAAATAGTAATATCATAGTATGGCAATATAGATCTTCTGGGCAAAAAACGCATATAATGAAAAGTGGATACTAATTAAATTAATGTAAAACTAGTGGGTCGCATGACATCGTGCCTTAAGGCAAATTGCTGGAACTTCCCGTACCAAAAATTATTATTTTTAAAAGATTGAAAATGATTGATTCCTGAAAAAATTAGATTTTTGAGGAACTAAAATTTTTGACAAAAACTTACTTTTTTTTTGAAAAAAAAAAAGACTTTTTGAAGAAAAATTTATTTTGAAATATTTTGGAAATTCTGAATTTTTTTCAAAGCAATCGTACTGTAAAATATTATGTATTTGAAACTATTTTAGAATGTTTATCATTATTTAAAAAAATTGAATTTAATTCTACTCTACAAACAATTTTTCAGCACATTTAAAAAAAATTGTATTCTATCAAATACAACTAATTGCAATGTTAAATAAGTGATGATTACCAAATTAAAAATTATTCTTAATGCGATCCAAATCTAGCAAAACACCTGACCCAAATTTTGTCAATTAAGGTCATTAATGGAAAAGTATTTGAAAGAAATCAATGTCATATATACACACAAAAATAGTTCGCATTGTTGAACAAATATGTGTGCAAGGAAGTGCATAATTAACACTATAATATTATGTTTATTTTACTTGATGAAGCCATTGGGTTCATTACTCAACATTCTGACTTTTACTTCAATACCACATCGTTCCCAAACTTGTAATATATTTCAAAGATAAAAATATTATGAATAAAAAATCATTTTTTAAAATATAATTATAATTAATTAATTCTCATTGAAAAACAGTACTCTGTTTTCTAGTTAAAATTCACAAAAAATTAGTTCAAATTTAGTTTTAATTCGCTACAGCTGGATTTTGTCCTAATATCATCACAAATATTGTCATACGTTGACCAATTGATTCTTCTTCAAAAATATAAATATATATATATATATATATATATATATATATATATATATCAATTACCATTGATTAAATCTCTCCTAAAACAGTGATATCTTTATAGAAATGATTTTTGCTTATCATTGCAAATTTTAAACCCAGCTCATTAATTTATATAAACAATAGTCGTTTATGTAAACAATACATAAAACATGTAATGTATTTAGAATGTTTGAAATGGCAAAAAGTATTCATATCAAAAATAGTATCGTTTAGTAAATATAAATAAATGTTGAATATTCGGTTGTTTTGATTTGAAATTAAGATAACTGTGATAAAGATGATCGATTAGAGATAAATGCTTAATCTTAAAATAAACAAAAACTATATCTGATTACACATGATACATCATTCTTGCAAAATACAAAATTGAAACTATGAAGAAAATTTTATAAACTTGATAGGACTATCTCTTTGCCAAAAAGAATAATATTGCAATAAGAAGTAATATAAAATATTATAGTTTGTTCCAAGTGGAAAAGCCCTTCGTCGACATTGCCTTATTAAATTAAAAATTTTCGATATTAGAGAAACGCTTGTAAAAAAAAATTGTAAAATAGAGACAGGCTAACCATTGGGTTGCTTTCTAGAAAAACCAGGTGATCAAAAAAAATCATCACAGCATCTCATAGAACTCTTAAAATCTGATTTAGAGTTCTATAACATGTTGTGATGATTTTTTTAATCACCTGGCTTTTCAGAAGGCAACCCAATGGTTAGCCTACCTCTATTTTACATTTTTTTATATATTTATATTTTTACATTTTTTTAATATATTTTATAATTTCATATATTTAAACAATTTATATATATATATATATATATATATATATATAATGGGTAGTAATGGCTTAGGTTCGTGAGCTGAGTTAAATTCCAACTCGATTCAGGGGAGAATAGTGTGGAAGATTACCCATTGTCATTTCACTATAAGCTAATTCCAATTGGAAACATATTTTTGATCTTTATTTTCAAGTGAAAATGGATATCGCTGCCGCACGATGTCAGGTTGTCCAGAGGTTCGAACTCAGAAAGTTCCCGATTTGTAAATAATCGACTCAATCGATATGAAGTAAAATTTAGCAACTCTTATAATTGTGATGATAAAATTTTGAAAATTTGGCACCGCCAAATATTCCAAACATTCATTTATTTTTATAATTTCGTAGGCCTATAATATTTAAGTTAGGAGTTCAGTAAATTACTACAGCTCGGCAGATCTCTACCAAAAACTAATCAGCACGAGTTCCAACTGATATCTTTCAAAAAATCAGAATTTATGGCGAAAACGTGAACTAACAATTTTGCACTTATCTGCTAATTACAAAAAATTGTGGTTGGGCCGATTGTCACACAAAATTAATGGACGCGAATCTTTATTGAGTTTCATGGAATGGCTTTTAAATTGTTGAAATCAGTGCAGCCATTTCTTAGAGAACCTCGATAAAATGTCACATATTACTTTAAAAGATGAGTATAAAATCAAGTTAAGAATAATAACATTCTAGATCCTCCCCCCACGAAGTAATGCCTAACGGCGGTTTCCGTGAGGACCAGAGACAAGGGCAAAGTGGAGATTTTAGTCGGTATTATACCAGGGCGGTATTGTGTCCGACATACCCAGACAAAAGACCAGTCTGGGATGCATAAAGGCATTTCCTTCGCTATAGTAAAAAATAATAAAACATATACACTTATACTTTTTCTAATTTTGGTATCGATGATTCCGAATGCCTTGAAAGATCGAGAAATCATAAAATTGGCATATCAGAGGGAAGTTAAAAAAGATAATATAAGTAAGAATATGAATCAATTATTCTTTCACATTAAAACGCAGATGAAAAGAATTAACAAAGAGGTTCTATTATAAATTATAATTATATTTTTATGCGTCGCTAGAATTTTTATTACATATATAAATGAGACGCATCTAACAATCCTTATCACGTCTGGCTCATGTCGCAAAGGACTAATTGGGTAACTGTCTGCGGAAATAATCATTGAGAGAAATTAGATAGCAAAAAAAAATCATATACGAAGAAAACAAAAATGGACCCGAGCAAAGATATGAGCAGACTTTATGGAAAAAAATCGGTCGTTATTTGAAATATTGTAAATGTTACTCTTACAATGTTATAATTATTTTAAAAAAAATACGTAGATATAATGATAAGACGCACATTGTAACTTTGAATGCTGAAAAATGTTTAATCAGTTGTATACAAAACAAATTGATATATAATTAGGACGCGTGCTAATTTTAAATTTTTAGATTAATAACATCACAATTCTGGCATTATATATATATATATATATATATATATATATATATATATATATATTTGAATAGTCTTGAATCTGATGCTGATATATTATGTTTAATTTGAGTTAAAAATTCGGGGTAGAAATTTATTTAAAAACAATACGTTTCGGTTAGCACCTTAGCCTTCATTCAGTATGTTATATTAGGATACAAAATTGTGTTTATTATTATTATTATTGTTGTTTTTCTATGAAATTTCTTAAATATTATTTATTCAGTTTTAATTTTTATAGTTAAATTGGTTCACACAGAATGAAGGCTAAGATGCTAGCCGAAACGTATGGATTTTAAATAAATTTCTAAAAACTCTCATACTCTTTTTATTGATGTAACGCCCGACTTTTTAACTCAAATTGAACATATATATATATATATATATATATATATATATATATATTTATATGTGTGTGTGTGTGTGTATTTATATATACAGCATACAATTTAATGGTAAATCAATTTTTGTGTAGTTAAGTTCATAAATACCGACTTAAGTTTTTTACAATGTTCAAAAAAATAGAGAAACAGAACAACTACATAACAGTAAAAAACGAACGCAAACGTATAAATATGTAATAAAATTTAAATTCTGAGGATGGTGCGAAATCCAACGAAACATTCGCGAAACAAATGTATACCGGTTTGTTTATTGAACACAACAATGTGAAATGATTTTCAAACCTGGTTAAATAATTATGAAATAATTTCCGAGCTTTTACATGTAATAATAATATTATTGATAACAAAAAATACATAATCATATTTGATTTGAGTTTGGAGTTTGTTCGCAATGAATATTTTATTGAATTAACAATAGAGCCCAAAAAAACGAGGCCATTTTAATTAAAAAAAAAAAACAATAGAGTCCACAAAAAGGAAAAAGAAAATTATTGGTTCGATAGTGTGAAGTTCATGTTAATTATTTTAATTCATAACTATTAACATGCATAAAACCATATGAATTTGTCAGGTCGGTTCCGAAAAAAGTGCACTCAAAAAATCAAGTACTTTGAGGTTAATGCAAATCGACTATTGTACGCCCAAAAAAAATCTGCATTATGTCAACATTTCCAACGTTGAGTCGTATTTTTTAAATTTATTTGATTAAAAAATATATTTATATATACTTATATAATATTTCAAACTTATTTATATTTTATATATGAGTCAGTGCAATACATAAAAAATGTAGAAACTTAAATATATAAAAAAGTAACATTGTGTAAAGTCTTCCACGTAAATTAGAATTTTCTTAATTAACTAATCATAATAATGATAATTCACTATAACACTACTTCACTATTTCTTGCCAATTTAAATAAAAAAAAAATATCGATTTTGCAATGTTAATATTTTTTTATTTAAATTGACAAAAAACAGTGTAGTAGTGTTATTGTAAATTATCATTGTTATTATTAGTTTTTTAGGAATATTCCGGTGTACAGAATGTTACTTTTTTATATATTTAGCTTTACTTACTTTTGTTTAATTGTCACATAGTTTAGTTATTTTAAATTTCTGTTTCTTTCAATTTGTAGTGAAACGTTTGGAAACAATAAAGATCTTATAAATTTTGAGTATTTTTACTTGATGTATTGCTCTGAAGATTTTGACTCACAAAAAAAACTCAACATTAAAATTATCATAAAATATATATAAATATTAGGGTGGCTCTTAATATGGACATTTTCGAATTTCCTTGCTCCCAAGAGCTCAAATGGTTCCAAATTGATAAAAAACAATTCTCTGAAAGTTTTAGGTCTTAATATTAACTTTTAGATAGTGCGCAATTCAATCAAACTTTGTATGGATATAGCATGGAAAAAATTTCGAAAATTTTAAAAACTTTTTTTAGGTATAACAAATGAATTAAAAGTGATAATTTGTGTCATCTTTTATTGAAAATTCGACGCTTCGCAAAACAGTTTTTTTTTAATTTGTTTTGTAGAGCGTCGAATTTTGAATAAAACTCATTCATTTGTTCGCTAAGTTATATCTAAAAAACATTTTTAAAATTTTTGAAAAATTTTCCATGCTATTTCCATACAAAACTTTGATTGAATTGCGCACTATCTAAAAGACAATATTAAGAGCTTAAACTTATAGAGGATTTTATTTATCAATTTGGAAGCATTTGAGCCCATGGGAGCAAGGAAATTCGAAAATGTCCATATTAAAGACCACCATAATAAATATATGTATATATTTATATATCAATATTGCCAGACACAGGTGTGAATATAATATGAATATAAAAATATATTACAATCATCACATTACCACATAAAATACACACAAAATTTGCATACACAATTCGTAAACAAAAAAAAACTATTTTTTTTAACAAAATGTCACATCACTTAAAACCCACAAATAAAAAGAAAAATCACATACCGGTTGATGTTAGTGTAAGAAAGAGGCCAGGGACTAACAGGGAAAATAAATGCTCCAGCTGCCTTTTCATTTTCTTGCGACGCTATCGGCTGCTCGGCTGACTCTGTGGACAAGAAAAAACTGATTTGAATTTGTACGGCAAATAGTGGAAGAGCTCGCTAACTTTTATACTTTGTTGAACATAAAATATTATTGTAAACAATAAATAAATGTTTATGCATTCCCAAAATTGCACCGAATTCTCTGAATGATTACATGAATCACATATAATATTATTTGTATGATAATTACGATAATTAGTAGGGGCTTAATATTAGACTTACAGTATTTTTATAAAACCTAAAAAAAAAATTTTGATGCAAAATTATTAAGAAAATTATTAAAACTTCAATGTGCAATTTAAAACACTAATTTATATGGGCTTTATATTTAGTGCTCGATTACTTTAAGTCGAAAATTTCATATTTATAATCAAATTAGGGGGCGTCCATTAATCACGTGAGGTTTTTAGGGGGAGGGGGGGTTTGAAAAAAATCACAAAATATCACGTGGGAGAGGGAGAGGTATAGTAAGATGTCACGTGTATTTATTTCTTAACTACTTTTTTAAAAAAAAGTTCAAACATTTTCAAAAAAAAATCACAAAATGTACAATTTTTTCACGTAACTAAAAATACGCGTGATGTTTGGTGGGGGAGGGGAGGTAATTTCGAATATCACCATGGATCATCATGGGGGATAAAAATCCTTAAAAACTCGATCACGTGACTAATCGACGCACCCTTATCAAATAATAAATAATTAAACATATTTTTTTAAATATTCTTATACAATAATTTTTACACTTATCCTAAAACAACAAGTAAAGTTGTAAGAATAAAATTAGGGTTTAAAAATACAAAATATTCTGACTATTGATTTTGATTTGAGCCTATTTTTATTCCTATAACTTTACTTGTTATTCTTTTAGGATAAGTATAAAAATAATTGCATGAAAATTAAAACTAGTGGGGTGCATGGAATCGTGCCTTAAGGCAAATTGCTGGAACTTCCCGTACCGTAATTAAAAATCTTGGTTCGGAACCCAAAAAAATTTACACAAAATGTGTACACATTATTAAAATCTCTATCAAATATCTGATAATTTGATGAACATATGTCCAATAAACATTTTTGACCGCCAAATGATATTTTTTAACTTATTTTTATTGAGAGTCCATAACCGCTGGACCTGCCTTCCCAAAAATTTAATCAGTTTTTTACTTGGCAATACAAGTAAAATATTTTTTGAATTATTAAAATCGGACGCTCCGTTCTATTAAAAACTGAGTTACCGTTTTTGGCACTTTTTGCCCCGTAGTTTAGGAACGGCTAGACCTGCCTTCGCCAAAAACTAATCAGCACGTCTCCTTATCAATACGAATCGAATGTTTTTTGAATTATTCAAATCAAATGATCGGTGTTCCCGAAATCGTCGACGAAAATTTGTATCTGCACACACACACACACACACTCACAGACATACATCCATTTTTTCTAAGGTATGAGTATAAAAATTTTCATTTTCGATTTTTTTGCGATTACTATAACTAACCCTACGGGAAGTTAGAAAATAATGTTACAGCTTTACTAATTTAGTTTAATTAATTTAATAATTAAGTTTTAGCTAAGTGTACGTTTAAAAAAAAACAAGTAAAAATGATGAATAAAAACAGGCTTTAAAAATACAAAATCATCTGACCATTGATTTTGTATTTTTAAAGCCTATTTTCCTTCCTACAAATTTACTTGTTTGATATGTAAGAATAGGTGTAAAAATTATTGCATAAAAATTCATGAAAATAATGTTACAACTTTACTAATTTAATTAAATGAATAGTTATTTATTTTAACAATTCAGAATTATCTAATTGTAAGTCAATGTGCACGATTTCAAAAATAAGTTGATTAGCAAAAAAGTACATTAATTTTTTTATTTCTTCTTAAACTGCAATTAAAACTTAAAGGTAGTATAAGTTGTGATAATTCTGAGTTTTTTCAGAAGCAACCCAACGGTTGGCCTATCTCTATTTCATGTATTTTATTAATAGTAATGATTTTCGATTTGATGATGATGATGCCAGAGAAGGGCTATTTTCAGTACGAAACATATTGCCATTTATATTAAAAATATAAATAAATTTTATGGAAGAACTTTTATCGTTCCAAATAAACTGATATTGAAGCTGGGCTTAAAAAGAAAGGATACGTGATAGTGCAAAAGAAAACAAATAATTTTTAAGGAAAATTACCACATATATGGCAGTTTTTGGCACAATGCATCAACATGTAATGTATTTTATTATTCGAATTTCTCTAATAGTTAGTAATGTAATAATAACGTAGTAATTTTTTTTTGTTAAACAATACCAGGGAAAGGCTATTTTTACTTGCACATTTAAAATTATATTAAAAATATAAATAAATTCAATTTCATGGATGAACTTTTATCGTTCCAAATACCGAACTGATATTGCGGCTTAGCTTAAAAAGCGAGGATACATGATAGTTTTTTTTATTATTATTATATAGTTTTATATCTGTCTTGAAATGGACAACAAGTTAAACAGCAGGAAAAAAATACTTGACAATATTTGACATATTTCAATATAACAAGAATTTTTTTAATCTTGCTTGTTAGTGTTGTGGTGTAGTTCTCTGGCAAGTGTATTTGAATGATCCTCGAAACGGCTTTTGTAATTGTCTAAATGTATTCAAGGATATATGATAGTAACAAATAATTTTTAACTTCCCGTAGGGCAAGTTATAGTAATCGCAAAAAAATCGAAAATGAAAATTTTTATATATCTTTACGTTTCAAAACCTTCTGAACATTTTGGCATACCTTAGAAAAAATGGATGTATGTGTGTGTGTCTGTGTGCGTGTATGTGTATGTGTTCGGATACAAATTTTCGTCGACGATTTCGGGAACACGGATGAAGCGATTTGGATAATTCAAAAAACATTCAATTCGTATTGATAAGGCTGATTAGTTTTTGGCGAAGGCAGGTCTAGCCGTTTCGGAGATGCGGTGCAAAAAGTGCCAAAAACGGTAACTCAGTTTCTAAGAGAACGGAGCGTCCGATTTGAATAATTCAAAAAACATTTTACTTGTATTAACAATATGAAGAATTGATCAAATTTTCATTAGGGCAGGTCTAGCGGTTTCGGAGATCTAGTTAAAAAAGTAAACGTCTTCAAAAAGTCTTTTTTTTTTCAAAAAAAGTAAATTTTTGTCAAAAATTTATAGTTTCTCAAAAATCTAATTTTTTCAGAGTAAATTTTTCTCAAAAATGTTAATCTTTTTTTAAAAAAAAATTTTTTGGTACGGGAAGTTTCAGCAATTTGCCTTAAGGCACGATGCCATGTGCCCCACTAGTTGAAAATTGTAATTACTGCTATTCTTCGTTGTACATCTTGTACGCTGTTTTCAAAATAATAAATTCGAATAAAATCAAAAGCTGGAATATATAATTCAAATACAATATTGCGTTTATAAACAGTTTTTATTACTATTTATAGCCGAAAAAATAACTAACAAACGTATTTTTTAGCTCTCCGTCTAAAAAGCTACAGACACAAACATTTACAATATAAAACATATCGCAAAACTGTAACGGGCTCCAATCGCTCCGGGGACTTTATCATCATGTCACATAATCGCATAGAATACTCGCATCAATGCCAATGGACATTGGAAAATTTATGGCCAAACACAAATCGGAATTGTAAATTGAATTTTTTCTAAAGCATTGAAATCATTATCATCAAGTTCAAGTGCACCAAGTTTTTTTAATTAAAATTTCGCACTATGGAGCAGAGAGTTTTATAGCGCAAGTTGTTTGAGGTGTATTATGATTAGTAACAAATATTGTTACCAAATTGTGAATTAAAAATCATGCACCGTGATAAACAAATCAATTGAATCAGCAAACCTCAAATGCAAAGAAAATTTAAAAGCAATATTTTATATACTATTTTTATATGAACAGAAAAAAATAACACGACAGGGATCTTTGGATCGAATCCTTAGAATTTTAGAGTTAATTTGGAATTAAATAGAATTGGATTTGTGAAGAAAAAGGGAAGATAGGAGTTAAATAGAATTAAGAATGAAGAAAGAAAATGGAAGGAAAGATAGGAGTTAAATAGAATTAAGAATGAAAAAAGAAAATGAAAGGGAAGATAGGAGTTGAATATAATTAAGAATGAAAAAAGAAAATGGAAGGGAAGATAGGAGTTGAATATAATTAAGAATGAAGAAAGAAAATGGGAGGGAAGATAGGAGTTGAATAGAATTAAGAATGAAGAAGTCATGATTGAAGAAAATAATTGAAAAACATTGAAGAAAAAAAAAAGAATACAATATATAAGATTGAATATGATTGAAAAAAATAGTATAGAATATAAAATAAAAATGTTGTAGGGGGCTAAATGCTCAGAGTAAGCGAGGCCAAATAAAATTTAAAAAAAATGGTTTATGGAGAGTCCATATTTTAGCAAGCAATTTTTACTTCGATTTGTTGGGTTTTCTTGCTGCATCTTTAACTAAATTATCTAATAAAGTTCCATGGTTCATGTGAAAATTTTGTTAATACTATCGTCGCAATTAACGTGTTAATAATATGCTTTTGTTTTAATATTTCAAGTGAAAATGTATCAATTACCAAATGATTTCATGAGGGCGGGATTAAACTGATTGCGAGTTCATTGTGATTTTCTAGGAAGGAGGCTTAACCACCACACATATATACATATATATATATATATATATATATATATATATATATATATATATCTTGATTATTTCTATAGCATATTTGATTTCAGCCAATTCGTCGAATTAAAAAATGAAATAATATTGTCAATTTTTTATTTATACTTCGATGTGTCATGAGCAATTCATCCAGGAAAAACAAAACTATATATAAAATTATAGATATGAAACTCATTTTAGCGTTCCCGATTCACATGCTGGAGGTTCTGAGTTCGAATCTCCGGCAAGAAATTGAAAAAAAAATAGATAGTTAATTTGAAATTATAATAGAATTATGAACTGTAATAAAAATATGTATGTAAAATAAACAAAATGTATAAAAATTAGAGAATTAGAATTAAAATGAATTGAAGTAAAGAGTTTAGCAGATTAAATGAGAAGTATAGTAGAAAAAGTAAGAAGTGTTTAGAAGAAGAAATGAGAAGATAGTAAAAGAAGAAGAAAGAAGGATGACAATAAGTTAAGAAGTACAGAAAGAATAGGATTATATAAAGAAGATATGAAATTGAAAATTGTATAGGATATATGGTTGTATAGAATAATGTAGGTGGCTAAATGCACGAGTAAGCGAGGCCAATAAAATAATAAAAAAAAACTTTGTGTTTTTTTTCCTGGTACGAATAACTGACTGATGACACATATCAAGTATGGAAACGTATAAATAAAGAATTATCAATATTTATTAATTTTTTTCAATTCGGCGAACTGGCTGATAAACACATAGGCGTTTTGTGGTGTAATGGTTAAGCACACGGACTTGTGTGAACCCCGTTCTGGACAACCTGACATCGTGCAGTAGCGATGTACAATTTCCCTTGAAATTATTTTTTTTAACATTTTTAATTACAATCTGTCACACTTAAGACATTCAGTAATTGTTTTGATTTTATTTTATGGAATTTTGAATGGATGGCAACCCAATAGTTGTCCAACCCAATTATGACTAATTAACTATACTCCAAGTATTTGCTGACATTTTTATTGTATACACTTGAAAATAGATATCGAAAATATGTTTCATATTGAAAATAGCCCATCTCTTACACTATTTTTCCCTAAATCGAGTTGGGGTTTGACTCAGCTCACGGACCTGCCCTAGGGCAGTACAACCCTTTGTTATTATTATATATACCTTATGGATCTTAGATAATAGGTATATTACCTGAGGTATATTTGGTATTTTGTAAGATAGGATATATTTAATATTTGTTTTTTGGATATGTAGTGTATGTATGCTGTAATAAATTGACCTCGTACTGACCATATACAGCATAGTTATATGCTTATAGGTTGTATGTACCGATCGCAGATTCAATCTTATCAAATTTACTAATGTTTAAAAAAAATTAGATATAACTACTTTCAAAATCCTTGGTTATCTTTTCAATAAATTCTAATAAATATGCTGACAAATTAAGCTAAAAACTTAAAACTTAACGTCATTGTAATAATGACATGAACATGCATTATAATTAAAAAAATAGTTACGTTTAACTTGACAGATAGATAATTATAGATAATTCTGTATCAGTGTTAAATAAATAGAAAAAATACTGATATGCAACTTTATGCAAGTCAGATGATTTGCAATTTTCATTAGGTACAGTTGAATAATCTTCATACACATACGGCACATGTATCAGAATACGTCATGATACGCATTGGACAGGGAATAACACAACATTAGTCATTGTTCTTGCAAATCGGAACAATCAGTGTTATCAAAGAATCATTATTATTCTTGGGAGTTGACAAAAACCGCAAAAGGACAATAGAGAATTACTGCACCAAAGCACCACTTTAAAATAAATAGTAAACACTCTGATTATACAGCCGCAAGAAATGAAATATTTTACAACAATATTATCAGAGCTTTCTCGTGGCTTAGTATGGTTTAGAGTATTCGGAAGGTCGAGGTGCTTTGGGCAGCCTGATGTCGAGCAGCAGTGATAACGATTCATAACATTTCATTTTCGCTAATTTCTTTACCACTGAGACGGGAACATAAAAAAGAAAATATCGATGAACGCAAACTAAATATGTTCGAAAGTTGGATTTCGGCCAATAAAAGTGAATATGAAAGTCGGTTACGGTCTTAAGAAACGTTGAGAAATGCATACATTTATAATAAAACCCTATAAAAAAGCGGTATTTTTAACTTCCCATAGGGTAAGTTGTAGTAATCGCAAAAAAATTAAAATGAAAATTTTTATATATCTTTACGTTTCAAAGGTTTCCAAACATTTTGGCATACCTTAGAAAAAATTGATGTATGTGTCTGTGTGTGTATGTGTGTGCGTGTGTGTTTGTGTGTACGTGCGGATACAAATTTCCGTCGACGATTTCGGGAACAAAGATCAACCGATTTTAATAATTTAAAAAACATTCGATTCGTATTGATAAGGAGACGTGCTGATTAGTCTTTGGTATAAGCAGGTCTCGTTGTTTCGAAGATACGGGGCAAAAAGAACCAAAAATGTTAATTCAATTTTTGAAGCGTTCGATTTATATAATACAAAAGACATTTTGCCTGTATTGACGAAATGAACAACCGGTAAAATTTTTGTAAAGGCAGGTCTAGTGTCTCCGGAGATCCAATGAAAAAAGTATAAAATAATGCCATTTGGCGGTCAAAAATGAACATTAGACATATGTATATCGTATTATCAAATAGTTTATAGAGATTATAACAAGAAAAAAAAATTGCAAAGTTTTTTTTAATAATTTAGTTTTCGGTACGAGAAGTTCCAGCAAATAGCCTTAAGGCACGATGCCATGAACCACTAGTTGATATTTGAAATTTGACCTTTTTAGTTTAGGAATATTTGGTGCCAAATGTTCAGCTTTATGGACAGATCCTTGAAAAAGATGCGGAGCCGATGCGCCACACTTTTTATAAAGTTTTCATCAATAAAAATGCCATTTAGTCCACATTCGGCTTCACTAATAAATGTAATCAAATATTTTTATAAATCAAATTCATTATGAACAAAAAGAAGCAGCAGCAGGTTGCCGACCTCTGCACGAATAAAGCTTTTATGCGCTTACGATAACAATTTATACCTATATTAAAATATTCACAACCAAATGAATAAATCTTCAATTCCATTTTTTTGCGAACAACATAAATTTTGCGATCGTTAACATTTTTGCTAAAAATTTAAAATAATAGAAGATGAAGCCTTAATTATTGTATAATTATATTGGCAAAACTTTTGAAGAAAAAATTGATCAAGAGCTTAGGAATATTACCAATAAACCTACCAAATACTTTTTTTTCAATATATATTTTAATCACAAGTCGTATAAAATAAGAAATGTGTAATAAAAATAGATGTAGTATCAGTCTTGTACACAGCTTTCCCAAGATATAACTTTGTTTGTTTTTTTTTTTAAATAAAAATGCAAAATTATCAGACAATTACAAAAGTACGCACGTGTCCAAAAATAATATCTGATGATAAAAAAATGATACGGGAAGAAAAGTTCAAGTTTTTGTGAACTTCGTGCTAAATCATTAGAAGATTAGATTATAAATATTAATAATAAACTATTTATTTACAATGTTATAAAAGTAAAACAAAATATTAAAAAAATAATTAACTAAATAATCTATATTGCAAAAATTAAACACAATTTTGCGGATTGTAGTCTTTTGTATCCAATATTATCATATATATTCTTGCAACAAATAAAAGATTTTATTTAAAAAAATAGCCTAAAATTAAATAATTAATGACTAGCCTTCTAATCATTTGTCACCCACATCACTCCCTCACTCATCAATTATAAAAAAGATCACAATGTAGAATATAATAATATAATTGTATGTTTTAAAATATAATTGTATGCTTTGATGATTTAAAAGATCATAAAACATATGATTAGCAATATCATATTTTTAAATATATATATAGTATGTGTATGTTTCAAATGATGTATGTTACTATATTTATAACCGTTGATAATTACTAATAAATTAACAATACATTAAAGCAGCGGTTTCCAACCTGTGGGGCGCGCCCTCTCAGGGGGGCGCGTACATCAGTTTCCAGAATACTATTATCGAAAATAATAGAAAATCGAAACGATTTAAAAATAAACAAAAAATAATTAATTTTTATGCATATTTTTACATAATATTGCATATTAATTTGTAGTCTGATAATATCAGTTGAGTATTTATAAAATTAAACTGTTGAAAAAATTAAGGAGGGCGCAACAATTTTTTTAAGTAAAACTTCTTTAGGCGCGACTAGGGTGTAAATCCGTACAAATGCAACGGAAGGCCGTTACGCCCGAACTGTTCGTCATTCGCTCTCGATGAGATCATTTCAACACGGGTCGATTGTGATTAGTCATCGTGTATGTGAATCTGAGATCTGTCGTTGTATGCCTACCGATTTCAACAAGGAAATCGACATAGATAAATAAACATTTTAAAGTTACGTCGTAGTACAAATCTTAATTTAATGAAAAATGCCTGAATCAGAAGAATATTTTACCCTGTTTCTTGAAAATAATAAAACAAATTAAACATTTGGGCCGTGTACTAAACGTAAATTTATTGATTAGAAATTATTTCTATATTATTCGTAGTTTCTATAAATCTTTGAAGTTATTAAAATGGTCAATATTTTTATGCAAGACATATATTACAGCTGTTTAAAGAATGAGATTATATCGCCAGCGAAAGGTTCATTTCTAAATGCTAATTACAATGACAAACCGATCCTCTCATATTTGAAGTATGACTTTAATTACATTATTGTTTTTAAATATTATGCATATTAATTTATTATATAAATGTGTATAATGGTTGAAACTAATAAATGTGTGCATAACGAGTGTTACCATATTACTAATAAACATTATTCAAAATTGTTATATGATGTATTTATTTTTACTTAAATGCCATCTTGTACAGTAGCAAATAAGTTTTACTTCAATCGCGTGTGAACCTTACGCGCACTCTTTTTTTGTTAAAGCAGGGGGGCGCGGTGCAAAAAAGGTTGGAAACCACTGCATTAAACCAAGGAAACGTTACAGATAAGGCGTTACTTATTGTTAATAATCCAAGAGTTCCATTATCTTACTAAATTACATCAGAAAGATTACTATAGCAAATAATTTGATAATTATCATGACATTTTGGAATTATAAATAAAATAGCAAAAACAAATAAAACTGTCATATTTACCTTTAATTGTGATCTCCTAACATCCGTTCACTATGACATATGACACTAATTATTTGAAAACAATCAACAACACTCACAACACATTTCATTTAATAAATATTAGACACATTAACTGTATAACAAATTTCCGACATTAATCGCATTATGTAGTGACTACAAAACAATATTTGTGATTCATAATGAAAGGAAAAAAGTTTTTTTAACACTTTTATCACAGATTTAAAAATGTCAAACCAGTTGCCTGTTACCATTCGTTATTTTTTAAACTTAACTAAAGTGTGTCGAAAAAATTAAAATGCTTTTATAAGATCACACCAATTTGGCAAATCATTCACGAATTATTGCATATACAAAACATGATAGATGACACTTTTGTTGTTGGTTATGGTTACTTATCAAATAGATAAAATTTGTTATTGACATTGGGTTTTTATTATCCCAGTGTTGGCAGCGATGAACACGATGCTTTATTTATTTTTGACACCATTATGACAGTTTCAGAATTAAAATATCTTACTACTACAAGTTTTGACGTGACATTTGATATTAGAAATCTGTAAGCGAGTAGAAGGAGATATGAGGCGAAATTCAATACTAGAATTCCGGAATGAGTTGACCTTTAGGCATTCGAATTATAGAAGTGTTTATTTCACCATCTGTCTATAGAAAAAATATAATTTTTAATAGCAATCATGATTTTAGACGAAATATGTGAAATGCTAAGTACTTATAGCGGGAGAGACAAGGTAAAATTTCAATAGAATCTTGATAAAAACCATTCTTTTTACATCACTTGTCTGTATACTAGGTGATGAGGACATTGTGTTATGGAATGAAGCTTGCATCAGGTTTGACAATTGATAAGGATCCTGCCTTGTCTAAAAAATTTCAAATATTCAGTTCACAAATGTCTAAAACTAGGGCTACATTGAGACTACTTGATGATATACCTATGCTACAGCATACTCTTCAATACGGACTTGGTAGAACGGTATACACATTTTGTATTAATTAACACGTTGATGGGCAGATAAAACAAGTAAAGTTTAAAAATTAACACTCTTTTAGTTTATAGAATGTTAGATGCCCAGACAATAATAAAATATATCTTAGATGAATAGATTTATACTTCATAACAGTCAGAAAATAAAACGCAATTGAAAAAAGAGTGCGCATAAGATTCACATGCAATTAAAGTAAAACTTTTTTGCTATTGCATGAGATTGCTTTCAAGTTAAAAATAAATACATCATATAACAATTTTGAATAATGTTTGTTAGTAATGTGGTAACACTCGTGATGCACACATTTATTGGTGTCGACCATTATACACATTTATATAATAAATTAAAAATTATATATTTATATTAGCATTAAAAATATTTATAATATTTGAAAACAATAATGTAATTAAAGTTATACTTCAAATATGACATGATCGGTTTGTGATTATAATTAGCATTTACGACTTGAATCTTTATTAGAGAAATTAAGTAATTGCTGATTAATAAATTCTATAATATTTGTTCACATTCAGGTTATGTTAAACAACGCCTAAAGAAATATTGTTTTTACAATTTCACTTATCATGTAATAATTGTGTTTGAAGAACTTCAAGTAATTAAAATTAACATACATTCATTGATGGCTTGTATTTTTTTTACTTTTTTGCTGGTGATATAATCTCATTCTTTGAACAGCTGTAATATCTGTCTTGCCTAAAAAATATTTTCCATTTTAATAACTTCAAAAGTTTATAGAAACTACGAATAATATAGAAATTATTTCAATAAACTTACGTTTAGTACATGGCACAAATGTTTCATTTGTTTTATTATTTTCATCATAATTATTTACTATTAATTAATTGGGAACAGGGTTAAATATTCTTTAATTCCGGCATTTTTTATTAAATCAAGATTTGTACTACCATGTAACCTTAGAATGTTTATTTATCTATGCTGATTTCCTTGTCGATGTTGGTAAGCATACAACGACAGATCTCTATTCACGCGACACGACGATTAATCACAATCGACTGGTATAGAAATGATTTCATCCAAAGCGAATGACATACAATTCGGGCGTAGCGCTATTTCCGTTGCATTCTCACAGATTTACACCCTAGTCGCCCCTAAAGAAGTTTTACTTCAAAAATTGTTTCCAAAATAAAACTACATTATGTTTCCTTTTGTAACCCGACAAATACAAATTTGTGCTGTTATGTGGCTAAAAAGGACCGTTGCTTTTTAGATGGCTATTGTCGCATAGTAAACTTTGCTTTGACGGCAATAGAGGCACATATCCGTTAACGTGTTAATATTTATTATGATTACTTTCACTATGTTTTCCTTCCTGTTTTAAAAAGTTTTTCAACATTATTCTATTGCATATATAATTTCAATTGAACTGAAAAAAAATATAATTTTTTATTTTCTTTGCTTCATAACTAAAATATTACATTCTTTGATATTAAATTTAATTTCTGAATAATTATCATTGATTTTAATATTAAAGTAACACAAAAGCCTTTTTTTCCATTTGATAGGAACCTGATAGTTGCTTGTCATTTTTGGGTGTTGTTACAAATATTATAGACCAACTTTATTATCCAATTGAGAAAGTATGCTGGTTGGCAGAATATAAACTTCTTAATGTGGAAAATCCAAACAAATGGGATAATATCAGTTCTGTGTTTTGGGTTGCTTCTATTTACTTATCGCTTATGAAGTAAGTTATTCTTAGATCTTACAAATGATATTAGTGAAAGAATAATTCATTAAGACTTAGATTAGTTTGGTTCTATAAATTTATTGTACTTATTCTGTTGTCGAATAATTTGAGTGCTTTTCTCAGTGACTTAATATTGATAATAATTATTTGTTTTCAAGATCTTTGAGGAGTATAAGTTTGATTCATAACCACAAGATGTGCTTACTTGAGAAAGGTGTTAGACCCAGGTACTTAATATTGTATTGGATTTTTTATATAAACATACATAATATTTTTGATAAATATATAATAAATAAATTTTTACCTCAATATTTGTCTGAAACATTAGTAAAAATTTATGACGGTGGATTGTTTTATCAAACTCACTTTTTGTCTTAATCAAAACTATTAAAGATGAATTATAATATGAAACATACAATTCTCACATTTTCATTGATGCCATAAATATCTATTGATCCTTCATATAACCCATTTTATACACTTTTTACGGAAAGAGTCCTAATATAAGGTACTAAATATATTCTCAGCGATATTATGGATAGATTATTGCAAGCTCAGCAGTTAGAATACATAGCAAGCATAAGAGGAGCATTAGATCTTATACATTCTGTTAGTACTCTGCCTGAAGGATGGCTTTGGGGTGGAAGACTTAATTCAGCACAAGTATGGAAAAATTATTTGTTGAATATCATAATAATTTGAAATTTAATTTCAACCAAGTAAATATTTTAGGTAGGGTTGGTTGCTACTATATCTTCATTTCTTGGCATTTATCAATACTACTTAAGAAAGAGGTCCAAATAGTCACTATAAAGAAATGTATATGTATTTTGAACGCTAATGTTCACAAGAACTGATATAATATTAACAATTTACAAAAAAAAAGGTTCTAAGTCATCAAATCTAGTTACAATAAATTCTTTTTAAAATCTTATATTCAAGTGTATATGGTGAGTGGTGTTTTATTATTATTCTGATTTTACATAATCAATGCAAAATGAATTACAAAATGGAAGTAATGGTTTATGAAAAAAATAAGTCATGTTAAATACTTTCCAAAACTTTATATTCAAATGTATGTGGTATGAGTGGTCTTTTATTATTATTCTAATTTTGCATAATCAATGCAAAATAAAGTACAAAATAGAAGGTAATGGTTTATGGAAAAAATAAGTTAAGTGAAATATTTTTTATGAAAATATTAAATGACGTTGAATGATAATTAAAATATTACATTCAAATGAATGTGGTGTGAATGGTCTTATATTGTTATTTTGATTTTGTGTAATCAATAAAAATGGAAAATAATGGTTAATGGAAAAAATAAATTTATTTTATACAAAAGTTAATTATTGATGTTTAATTTATTATCTCATAATAATTTATTTTTAATAAGCATACAAAATTTCTGAAATTATTTTATACATAATAAATACAAATGTTTAACAATTTTCTAATAAATTTATAACATTCAATATATTAACATTACTTTTTATTTACTTAGCAGCTAACTGTTCTATATATTTCTTGGTCAGCTCAGCAACTGTATTATTCGAAGTACCACAATGAGCTTGGACAAACAGTAGACTCTGAACATCTTTCTGTTCAAATGCTATCTGAGCTGCTTTATCCAGCATTCTGAAATAAATTTTGTACAAATAACTTCTTATTTGCTACATATTTAATATAAATTTTGTTTCTAATAATATGTTTACTTGAGCTTAACATAGTATTTCACTTTCAAATCGTCCTTGCATCTGGAAACATATTTCTGAGCTTCAAATATATTATTATATTTCAAACACACATCTATAAAAGGCTCATAACCCACAGGACTTTTCCGAGCCTTTGAAAATTTTTCTAATTCCGACCATTCATCATTTTCTGCATAACTTTCTATGCGTAACCACCAGTATCTGAAATACATTCGATCACCAAGTGTTCAAACATTTGAAACCACCAAATTGGTATTTATTTAGCAATAAATGGGCAAAATATCACCTTCGATCTGGAATTTTATATTCCGACTTGAAATTGTCAGCAAGCTTGATCTGTTGTAATTTCAGTAATGCCTTTGCTGTTTGATGTATAGACAGTCCCATAAAGCTGCGTTCAAATTTTTCCTCCAGCCTTCTTTGGTATTTATATAATTTTCTTGTTTCATCACACAAAGTAACTCCAATTTCATTCCTTGCTTTCTTAAAAGCTTCCTGGGCTGCAGATAAAACTGTGTCTCTTGTTGTTGAATTCTGAAATAAAAATTTTGACTAAGGAAACAAATCTACTACGTTTATTAACACTATTATTAAATGAAAAAAATGTCTTCTGAAAAATTGCATGTGTTAAGCCATTGTTAAGTATTTAAAAAATATTATTTATTAATTATATTAGAACTCACCTTGGGTTCTAAGCTTTCAGTAATATACAAAGCAGCTTGGGAGTTATAATCATCTTCTTGAATGTATATATCACGCAATGCTTCTCTATTTTTTCCTTGTGAATATTTTAAATACAGACTTTGCGCAACTTGAAAATTACGAATTATCATCTGAAAGTCACATTTTCAATAAATTTGTTTTTATTAATTACTTTATGCAGCATTTAATATATTCTTGCAATTATGAAAAAAGCAGTTTTACCTGGAACTTAGATAATGATGTTTTACTCTGAATATCAATTATCACAGCATAAACTAAATCGGTATCTCCACTTTCAATTGCTTTGATTAATGCAGATTGACCTTGATCTAAAGTTAATAGCGATGATACTTGTTTCTCAACATAAACTTCATGATCCAGAAGCTGAAATAATAAAAAGGTCAATAAATTATTCAAAAGGTTAAAATAAGCCATCACCAAACATAAAGAAATATTTTACCTTTATAGCTAAATCCTTCCTGCCGTTATCAGCAGCATACTTTGCAATGTGCCAGAAAGAAAATTCTCTTGGATTATGGCTTACTTTTTCAGCAATTTCTTTCGCTACAATTTCAGGAGGAACTTTTGATTGAATCACCTTGAAAATATACTTTATTAAAAATGGGTTTCTAAATTTCAAGAGGTATATCACAATACATTTATCATTGCAGATAGTTTACAGTTTACCTTATGACGTGCCCAGTGTGCTAATATTCCTTTTTCAGACAGTTTTAAATATTTTGCAATCTGAATTGCTAAATAATAATGTTTTCTCAATACTAATCTGTCCAAAAGCACTTGGGCTGTAAGGCATTCAAATCTAATAAAACGTGTTAAGACTTTTTTTCATTTAATAAATTAAAACCATTATTTAAGCATGTCAAGGATACTGCGTATATGTTAGCGGAATCCCGACTCGTCTGTCTCTCACTGCATTTAGTACTCTTAGAATTCTGCACATTTCAACATATGACTTTGGTGAATGACCATTTATGAAACCTTTTCCAAAATATGCAGCCTATTTGAAATGATCATTTCAATAAAATATAAAGTATTAACTTAAATATATATATACATATAATAAAACATTACCCTTATAAGCATTTTTTGCGTTGAAGTATCAAATTCTAGAACAGCTGCTTCTAAGCATTGCGCGACTGCCTTAGGTAATTGATCTTTAACTAGAGTTATATATTCATCAGCTCTATGATTTCGACGCTGAAAATGATATTATAAATAGGTAAAAAATCTTTTTTTTTTAAAGAAAGGCGTGATAAAGAGAGCTTTTTAGTTAAATGTGAAATCATCTTTAGAAAATATAAATATACATCAACATTTGAAAATTTTAAAAAATGTTATAATCATTTCATATGCCATATAACATAACAAAATGATAAACCTGAAACTGTTTGGAAGCCTCCAAGAGATAAGAACCCGGATCTGTGCTATTAATTCTGAAAATCTGCTGCACAACACTGGGAACTTTCTGTATCATTTCATGGTTAGCTTCTGATATCATTCGTACTCCATCAATTTCAGGAATCAAATGAATGTTATCATAAGGATACTGTACAACATCACCATTTCTTCCAACAACATATAAAATATTGGACCACAAACCAATGACAGCTTCTGTACCACACCAGACTAATTGCTGAAGTATGGCATCAGGTTCATCAATTTTAATTTCACAGTACCTACATAGTAACATTAATAAATGATACTTCTTCAGCAGTAACTTGATTACTTTGTTATTTCATTCATAAAAATTTATTCAAATATACCCTTTCTGCAAATCCAAGGATCCTAACCAGAGAGTTCCAGAATCTGTATATATTGCAATATGTTTATTATTCAAAGACACAGCCATACCACAAATATGAGTAAATTCAGTAGATAAATTCAATTCTCTTGACAAAGGCAATTCTTTATCTTGGTATAAAGCATAAATCTCATGTCCACATGAGACAATAGCCATAGTATTTCTGTCCTCGGATAGAACAGTCCAATATAATGTTGCTTTACTACCTGTAATGTAAACTATGTAATTTCATTGTTATAAATTTCTTAACTTATTTTCCATAAATCATACCCAAAATTAATCAATATTTTAACGACAATAAAAAGTAATATACTAATATTCTTTTAGTCGAACTCATAAGTTCTAATAACTTTTTGTATTTTGCCATGCATACTTATTTAAATACCTAAATAATTACTAGGCAATTCTGGTAGTTTCCTAATCTTTGGTTCTTCTATATTATTAATAATAAAAATTCTACACGCTGATGTCATCACAGCTACACCTGTTCCACTATTCGTTAAAAATATTTTTGCATCTTTCACCTAAAACAAATGAACAATGTACTTTGTTCATGTAATTTAATAATAATTTTTATTAGAGTATTACTTTTAAGTCTTTTGCTTCAGTACCCATACTGAATGTATGCAAAAATGTTCCAAATATATCATACAATGTCACATTTCCATCTTCCTGAACGCAAATTAATTTTTCTGCATCTGACCATCCTAATGTAATTATATTGCTACCGCTCCACTATAAAAATAAAACATATAAAAATATTTAACTCTATATAAAATTAATTCAAAATATTAACCACTATTGATGCATTTTTCTGGCCAGACGATGTGTATATGTAGATGATTGGGTTTGTAGAGCCTTGCACTCTTATAATCTTTTTGTAATTTCTCATTAAAGCTATTGGTCCGCCATATGGTGCAGCATAAAGCATCATATCATTCAAGTTTATTTCATTCTGCCACCCCATACAGTATAATTCATATTTCCTATTGGAGAAAAATATAGTATTCAGACAACATTATGTACGCATAATGTATACTAAAAAGCATATATATGAAGTGTACAAATTCTCAACTTATGTAAAAAAGGATCAAAAGTTTATCATATCTTTAGATAATAGGTTTTTATATAAATGATATTTGTATAGAAAAATATAGCAGGATTCTACTAATACTGCATATTACGATGAAATATATATATATATATATATATATATTATATATATAAAATTAAATGTTTTATGAGGTTGAAATTAAATTATTTTGTATAAGAAACTTCAATAAAAATAAATTGCAATACGTATAAGGAATATAACTATAATATTTTGTTGCAATCTTTTACATTTCAATACCTATAATATACATCCCTTCCCAACGTAAACCAATCAGCAGTTATCATAGCAGACATGATATACAGGCAGTATCACTTTTATAAATACTAGACATTCATAAATATAACTATATAATGAAATACTTAGATCAAGTTCGTTGAATTGCACAAAGTGACAGCTGTCAACATTGTGCAGTAATCAAAAATAGTATTTATATTATGTTCAGTAACACCAACTCAATAATAACAAATGTCGCATGCAAGGAATTTTAAGAAAAAATAATCATGCGTAAGTTGCTGGATCTGGATCTTTAGACTTCTCTGTCATGTTGACACTCTATAAACCGTAGTCTGTGGATCTTGTTATACAACATAAAGCAAACAAAATAATCAAAATGGTTGATTGTGTGTAATGTAATTAACTTGTAATATCATTATCTTTAATAATTCTGGAAAGACTGTACTGATTAAAGTGAATCAATCAATTATCTATTGTTTGTGCTATGTTACCCACGAGTATTTTAAATGTAGTAGACAAATGTTTAGTGAATAATTTCGTAATAATTTACAAGATGGT